CAACAAGATATTTCGGTATTATCAAACAAATCTCATTATTAAATACCACTAAGGTAAACATACCATAATTTTGTAAATTAAGTATTTTATCAAGAGATGATCTGATAATGATAAAATTATACCATTATAAGAAAATTTGGTATGAAGTTTTATTCCTAAATTCTCTATGAAAAAGTGAAATATTCGTCCAGTTCACAAGCTTTAAAACCTCAAAATACGGGTTCCATATACAGAAAAATTATCGAGTAATAGGCTACAACTTTTTGAATCTTACAAACTTTAAAGAAAAATTGGTAAAATATGGCCCTTAATTTCGCAAGAAATAATCAAATTGGCCTTTATGTTAGGTGCTATACAAAAAAAAAAGGTTAGATTAATTATATTTATTATTTTAATAATTTAATGGATCTCAAAGTATGCTTTGTGTTTTGCATTATGATTTATAATTACGAAAATAATTTGAAAAAAAAGACTAGCGTCAGGTTATAGATCAACATAATGGAAACACGTCTAGCCCATTTTTAAATAGTTAAAAATAAATGAGGGCCTTAAGTAAATTTCAAATATTAGTATTTCAAATTTTCTAAAAAACGACTTAAAGGTTGTTGATTAACCTAAAAATCTTCATAAAGAGAAACGGCTTTTCGTCATTAGAAAATTTATGCCGCAATCGAGCTCAATTAGAGATCGGATTTTTATTTTGGATCAAAAGATACAAGAAATCATTATCGTATAAGAGATCTTAAGGCAAAGTGGATATATTGACAAGAAGACCAGGATGCTATCGTTAATCGTTGACAAATTATAGCCAATTATCAAAACTTTAGTATAGGATACAAAATCGATGATCCTAAAAACAAGAATTCAGGAAAACAATCGTTAATCGTAGAGCATCGCAGATCGTTGACCGAGATAAAGCAATGATCATTAGTTACAAAAGAACGTTAGAAACGAGCAAAAGACCAAATTAATTTATCAGGAGAATTTAAGACGTAGTATCGATAATCGTTGACTAGCAATCTTGTATCGTTTAGTTAATCAAGTTGTCAAGGTTAAAAGGAAATGGATACATGCTCGAATATTGGTATTTCGCAGGATGTGGGGCCTAATCTAAGTGTAAGGGTGTTGTAATATGTAAATTACTTTGAAATAAAATAGAGGAAAAAGAAGTAATATTCAAATCGAAGTAATATTCAAATCGATTGTTAAACAGAAAAACTTAACGAATTATTAGAATTTTTGAATAAAGACGATGTAAATGAATTGGAAAAGAAAGTATATATATTCGGAAATATTTTACTTAAAAAAAAAGAAAGAAAGATCATGATTTTACGAACTTAATTATAATTTTTATTTTAATTTTATTTTTTTTTTAATTAGTTTAGTTTGATTATAATTTTAACTTATTATTTAATAAAGAGTTAGTATCATTTTAGTTCTACTTTTCTTTATTTGACAACGGTTCTAATCTCTCAATCCGTTCAAAAACTCGCAAAACGTTACAATGGAGTCTAAAGAATTTCCTTAGAGAAATAGAGATCCGCTGGAAAAATATTATCGGCCAGGAACTTCCAAAAGGTAACAAATATATGGTTTATGATATATTTAAAAAATAAAAACAATTAATGATAAACTCCTTATTAGGTAAGTGGATAAGTAGCAAAGAATTTTAATACTTTATATTAATTATATCAAACATTTGTCTAATATAAATCACTATTGCATACATAATAATGCATTATATTACATTCGCGATAATACCTTCGTTTAATGTATTCGCGATATTGCATTCGTGATATTGCATTCGCGATAATACATTCGCTGTAATGCATTCGCTATGATGCATTCGTGATAATTCATTCGCGGTAATGTATTCGCTGTAATTCATTCGCTATAATGCATTCACGATACTGTTTTCGCTATGATGCATTCGCGATAATACATTTCGCGGGAAAAGTTTTGCGGCATTGACGTGATACGATTTTATAAACTTATAACTACTTATTAATTTTATAAAGATCAAGGAAAATAGTAACTGAAAATAGACAAAAAATATCTCTTATGATGGAATAATTACACGTGGAAATCAGGTTGTTATTAGAGCTATTCTCCGTAACCTAGCAATTGGAGATGATGAGCTCAGGGTTAATTTATTGAATACGCCAAAAAATGCTACATATTTAAGCCCCACTATTCAAAATGAAATTATAGATGTGTGCAATGATTTAATATTAGGATAAGTAGTATCCAATATTAATAAGTCTCCATTCTTTTCATTTTTGGCTAATGAATCAACAGACATATCTGGGATAAAGCATATGTAGTTTGCTCGGTATTTATATTCTAAAAATGGTAAAATTTATATTTATTTTGTATTAATTTATTATCATCTATATATATGAAGTTCAGATAAGAAAGGATTTTTTGCAGTTTAATTCTATTCATATGAGAGGCTAATTGCAAACACAATTGATTTTCATCTTAAAAAATTTAAAATTTAAATTAATGTCAATCTATGCGGGGATAAGGATATGATGGTGGCAATATGAATGGCCATTTAAATGGGGTTCAATCGCATATATCCCCTTAGAAATTGTGCTCACTGTATAGTGGTGGCAGAAGCAAATGGAATACTGAAAGTAATTCAAGATCCTGAGTTTTTATTGGCTGTACATTTCATTCTCTTCTCTTACACAATATCATTATACAGAGTCTTGCAAAGGGTGAACCAAGATATGGTTCAAGCATTAATCTTAGCAGAAGATGCATATGATGCTAAATTACAAATAAAAAAGAATACTGATTGCGAATTTAGCAAGATTTTTAACATGGTTCAAAATAGGTGCATTCATATAATTTGATAATAAACATGCCAAGAATTGTTTCCAAGACAAGTACATAGGAATGATATTTCCACATAATAGTTAAGGAGTATTACAAAATAACGATTTTTATGCCACTTATAGGTACATCTTTAACTTAAATTAGAGCGCTTATTGAACCATAAACTTGTTGCTTAATAACTTTCAAATTTTGTTATTTATCCATCAGTCAACATCTCGGTTAAGATTAGAGATAAAAATCACTATTTATATGCGTTTTATTTGCAAGATCAGGTAAGGACCGAATTTGAAGTAATTAGTGAATTTAAATATTGGTATGCAAGCTAAAAAAGAATGGATATTAAATTTGAGAATGCACTAAGTTCACTCAATATTTGTAATAAGCACACATTAATAAACTTTCCAAACATTACAAAATTATTTCATATTTTAGCATGACTCCCTATTATGACACGTATTAATGAAAGAACTTTCTCGAATTTACCAAGGCTAAAAACATATCTGCGAATTACTACCTCGCAAAATAGATTAAATGGTTTAACGCTCTTAAATATTCTGGGAATTAACACCGTTAATTCTGAAATAATTAATGAATTATCAAATTCTAAAAAAAAATTTAGATCTAACATTATATATTATTACCATGTTTTTGTATTACTGTGTATATATGGAGTTTATTATATTTTATATAAACTAATAAAGATATATTTCCTATTTGTTCCATCCAGACTTAACCAATTTCATACATTTTAAAAAATGAAAATATTTTGTTTTTATTAAAATTAACCTCCTATCTTGTAAAAATATTTTATAACTATATATAGACTAAGGAACACAGCCGAAGGCCCTCCCAAAAGGGGGTCAGGGAGGCATCGCCCCCATATATTTATTAATTATCGCCCCCCCTCCCTACCTAGGAAAATCCTGGCTACGCTTTTATTTACAATATTTGCTATGACCTCATATTTTTTTGTATTTATTTCTTATAGTATTAGAGCTATATTCCTATTTTCTATATTTTAGTGCAAAATATATAAATAACCAATTTCTGATTAGTTGCATTATTTAATTAATCTAAAAATCATCTTTTTATATATTGGGAATCAAAAAAATTTGAATATCTAGAATTATATTTCTCTTATAGTAATTGCGGTAGTGTTGTTAAACGGCTCGTTTTGAGCCGATTTTTAAAAACGGCTAACTCAATATTTTAGCAAGAAAAATATTACCTAAGCCTTGAGATTTCGCTATTAGATGTTTAAACCTTCGGGTCATCTATGAGAAGAATCTTCAGTCTTGCGTAATGTTTACCTGGATAAAATACTGTGTTAGCCGTTTTTAAAAATCGGCTCAAATGGAGCCGTTTAACAACACTAAATTGCGGTTCCCACAACACAAATTTCTGTCGAAAGGTCCTTTTCAAGGCTAATCACAATTAACTACTTATATTAGAAATTTGCACGTTCTAAAAATATATTTAAAAATAAGTTATTATTCTTATATATTTTTTTTATATTCTTCTTATTATTGTTATATTATTGGTATTGGAGAGGTCGGAACAGTGTGCATCCTATTTTCTAAGGGGGTAGGCTGCTTTAATGGGGGTAGGATAAATTTTTGGGGGGTTATCTATTAAATTTTGAGATGAAATAGGACAAAATTTATTGCTGTAAAAATTAATACTTTTATTATAGAATTATTATAATACAATTCATCGACCAAATAATCTATATATTGCAAACAATCATATACATTGTTTTCCAAATAAAACTTTGTGCTATCCTTTTAAATGTAATTCAAAAGGTTAAGATATGTCAGCCATAATTCCATAATAATTAATTCATTGTAAATGAAGGTTTTAATTGAATTTATTATCTAAAAAATAAATTCTTTATTTCTTTATATTCAAAAAATATCGATAGTTGGTAGTAGAGAGATAGATTCATTTAAGTTATCCTTTATAAATTCTCTGAAAAGAGTATCAATAAATTAAAAAGGTGGAAATAATAATAGGGAGAGATTAGGGGGGTAGGCAAAGGTTTTTGAAGGGGGTTTGCATCCAGTGAAAATCCTGTCATGTAGACGCTGGTCATCATAAATTCTATACCATTCTCATATTATTCTCGAAGTTAGTGCAAGAGTTTCCCCCCTTGTAACATGGTGGAGGATAGGGGCAGCAGCTTATTGGCAGCTGGTGTGGAAGAAGCTTGGATACGACCTTCGCGGGCCTGGTATGGATCTGAAGACGAAGAGACACTTGTCAAAAGAAAGATTGATTATTCTCGATATAAAAGAAGAAAGAAATTTTTCGTTTGTTCCTCCTCGAAATTGAATGATACTTTAGACAAGAACGCATGTATATGGAGAATTTTGTATTTACATGTATGTAAATTTTGTAATCACATTTTTTTACAGCCAAAAAGGCTTTTAAAGGCTTTTAAATTTTTTTTTTTGTTGTTGAACTTTAAATTAAGCCTAATTTTAATAACAATAATTAGCATTTTAAAGTAATACATATACTAGGCCTGTGGTAATATAATAAATAAATTTAAACCATTATATTATATCAATCAGCCCATATATAGCGTAATTTATACATTTCTTATATCTTTCTAAGTTAAGGTTATAATAAGGAAAAAACTATTATGGATAGCTATTTTGATCCCTCCCCATTAGCCCCTATATAGTGTAATTTATACCGTTCTAAGTTAAGGGTATAATTACGAAAAAGCTATTATGGATAGCTATTTTGATCCCTCCACATTAGCCCATATATAGTGTAATTTATACCTTTCTAAGTTAAGTGTATAATTACTAAAAGTAATTATTATGGATAGCTATTTTGACCCCGTCACATTAGCCCATATATAGTGTAATTTATACTTGTCTTATATCTCTCTAAGTTATGGGTATAATTACGAAAAAAATATTATGGATAGCTTTTTTGACCCCTCCCCACCTTTTTTATTTGATTTTTTGGTATACTAATTATTGTTATTTAATTCTTTTTCCCAGATATCGACTTCTCAATGTTATTTTTCCATGATAACATCTCATACATAATTTATTATTATTATTTTTAATATTTTAATTAGTGCATTGTTATTTTTAATTGATATGTAAAGAAATGTTTATTTTTTACTCACTAAGGCGTTAATTTCATCAATTTATTTTATTTGATTTTACATGCCCATTTAAATGTTATTTGAGGCGGCAATTTAACATATTACCGATTAATTTATTTGACCAAGTATATATATAACTATATTATGTATACATTGATTAATCATTGAATCTAGAAGAAAATAGTTTAATAAAACTTAAATAAAATTATAATTGTATCATCATAAATTCTATACCATTCGTATATTATTATCGACGTTAGTGCAAGAATTTCCCCCCTTCTAACAATTATTATATACCTATAATAAAAATAAATTAATTTTATCTATTTTATAAATTAATAATACAGTATTAATATGATTTGTTGTAACACATTTTCATAATGTGAAAAAACATTCTTATATAGTTAAATAACTTTCCATAATTATTGTAAAAAACATTTTGATATAAATTAAATTTTTTAAAAATTTTTAAAAGTTTTTAAACTTTAATGAAGACTAACATCAAAGTTATGAATCAAATAGTTTTTTTTGGACACAAGTTTAAGTGGAAAAATGAGAATTCAAAAAAAAAATTTTAATTATAAAGTTCTTAAACTTTAATGAAGACTAACGTCAAAATTATGAATCGAATATAGTTTTTTTATGTTTTGGACATAAGTTTAAGTGGAAAAATAAGAATTTTAAAAGATATTATATAAAAAAAAATTTCTAAGATTTTTACAATACCTTTTTTAAATTTAAAGAATTATTCCAATATTTTAATTTTACTTTTAGCTATCCAAAGAATGGAAATCAGGATAAGAAATTTGAATAATTTCTTAAATAAATATGAGTGAAAACTCGAATTTAGGGTTTTCAGATAATTCTTGGTTTAGAATTTTTTATGATCAATTCGAAACACCAAAATAAAAAAAACCATTTATTATTTATTTATTCTTTGTAAATAAAATATTGCACAATATAAATCAATTACAAATTCAATCAATTAAAGGAATGCATCGAATTCCCTCTTCAATAAACTTTATGGTGTGAGAATAAAAATTTGAAAAATTATATGTAAAATAATTGCCTAAAATACTCGTAACAATTGAAATAACTTCATTTCGGTTATTGGGTTTAGGAGAATTTGATCTATTCCATTATAAGTAATGAATTTGATGGTAAAAATGCTAATAATTCATACAGGTATGCCTTGAATTTTATCGCAGTAAAAGCCCCATCTATTATTGTGAATTTTTTCAATCCACTTATTCCTATTGTGCATAGGTTACCAGAAGTTTTTAAAAATATAATGTTTTTCTCAAAATTTTTTTTCAAGTTTTTAAAAGTTTTTTTAAAAAAGGATGTATTTTTCTCAACAAGTTTGTGTAGGGGCTTCCGTTATGGGTAGAATGGTTGGTGGCACATCTCGATGATTTTTGGTATGCGTCATTTTAGGTTGATAAAAGCAACTACAACAATTAAATTTTAAATTTTATTTAATTTTAAAACCAAAAAAAAATATTAAATAAATAGGAATTATCTGAAAACCCTAAATTCGAATTTTCTTTCACTTATGTTTATTAAGAAATTATCAAATATCTTATCCTGATTTCCATTCTTTAGATAACTAAAAGTAACATTAATATATTGTAATAATACTTTAAATTTAAAAAAAATTTACAATGCATTTTTAAAAAAAATTTTTCTAAAAATCTTAGAAAATTTTTATTCTCATTTTCCCACTTAAATTTGGGTCCAAAACATAAAAAAATTATATTCGATTCATAACTTTGACGTTAATCTTCATTAATAAAAACTCTTATTATTAAAAAAATTTTTAAAAAAATATATCAAAAATTTTTAAAAATTTTATCAAAATGTTTTTACAATATCAGATATTTTCCGATATTGGCTCAAATTGATACTACATTATTTTAATTTTGACAAAGATATCGTCACAACTAAAGGAATTACTAATGATTATTATGGAAAGTTATTTAACTATATAAGAATGTTTTTTCACATTGTGAAAATGTGTTACAACAAATCATATTATTACTGTATATTAACCTAAGTGCTAGCAAAAATTTTAAAAAATGATATTCATAATTAAATCATTATACGATGGCATAGCTTCAATAAAAATAATTTTAAAAAATAATTCAAACAGTAAAGAACCTTTATAAACCTTTACAATGAGCTGAACCAAACCTAAATTTTTGAACCTTTTCTTAAAAACAGTAACCAAAAATTGTTTGATATTAAAACGCTTGCTTCCAATTGATTATTTGGTTCGTAGTGATGTGGTGTTTATATACTGTATAATAGTATTGTTAAAAAGCCCCATTCGGGCTGATATTTAAATATGCCCTATTAAGATTTTAGCCCAAATAATATTATCCGTGCCTGGAGATCTTAATCATAGACAGCCTCTTAATAGGATATTCACTGAATGCAAACATCCCCTAAAAAACCTATACCTACCCTCCTAAAAAAATTTCGCTACTGCAATATTCACATTGTTATTACACCTTTTTAATTATAATGGTACTCCTTTCAAAATTTTAAAAGGAAAAACTTAAATTATTAATACTCTAGTACCAACTATCTTATGAATGTAAAGGAATTATTTTTTAGAACACGAATTCAATTAAAAACCCCCATTTACAATGAATGCATGTTTAAATATATTATTAGCATAAATACGAGTTTGGTGATAGAATGTCTAACTCTTTTAAATTAAGCTTATTATAATAGAAGAAAATTATCCAGAAATTGTTTTATTTGAAAAATAATATCTATGATTGTATTCAATATATAGATTTGATCGATGTTTAGCTATATCCTTGTATTATAATAGGTTTATAAAATTTAATAGATAACCCTCCAACAAATTCATCCCACCCCCAGACTGCTCCCCTTAAATGCCTACTCTTTAACCCCCTTAAAAAAATGAAAGCAAACAATTTCTAACCCGCCCCCCCTCTCCGCTTGATAAAGATGGTAGAAGGGTGTGGACTTATATTTGTAACATCTTGAGGCTTACATAGCATAATTTTGGCTAACTTAATCGGGCCGCTTTTAAAAGTCGACCCAAATTGGGCTTTTTAAAAACACTAATGTATAGACAGTTATTTAAATTCACAGGAAAAATATATATCATATAAACATTACAAAAAGAGATTACGGTTACGACTAGCGTTAGACTTACAGCAGGGGTTCTCTAGTTAAATGCTTTAAGTGCTAAAGCACCCCCCCCCTTTTTCGAAGTTAGCACAAATATTTAAAAATAAATTAATAACTTATTTTTTTTATTGCATCATATTATATTAGAAATGAGGTATTCTATTTATAATTATTTTATAAAATATTTAGATAATCCTACTTAGAATAAAAGTAAACCTAATACACAGAACAACATTCATTTATGCGCTGATTTTTGAAAAATGGTGCATTTCCCAATTAATTTAATGTTTATTTTTTAATTTGTTTTATTATGCATAATCAAAGGATGAATTTGGTGAAAATATTTTTCTAATTTTTTTGGTAAGAAATCTAAAAGATATGTAAAAGTTTTTAGATTAAAATAAAGGATTTCAATTGGTTTTAGGGTGATGTATTTGAATTTGTTTCTAGATTTGTGTTATTTTGATATTATTTTATTAGCCAATACACATATATGACAATTAATTATAGTAGAAGATAAATCTATGAACGTAAATCCGGCCGAAGACCCCTATAAATTATATATAAATTGCTCCTTTTTTAAGATCTCGTTCCTATCATAATTATTATCTACAATACCAAAAGACTTAGTAATTTTGGAATTTTGTATATTTTCAAGAGTGGAGATAGAAAATGGTCTTCTTATATATAAAAAATAATTATGATTTAAGTAGGTAGAAATTTGCATGACTCTATTTTGATTATTGTCTTGTCAGCCTCTTTAAAATTATATTCAAAATTATAATTCAAACTATACGCGTTTTATGTTAATTTTGATTTCTATTTTGTCTAAAACACCAAACTAACTTAACCAATTAATTAAAAATCACTGCTATAAATTTATCTTAAGATATGTTTGAAACTCTTTTATTAGTTTCTTGAAATATTATACATCTACAGTTAAATAGTTTAATTGTTATTCATTATGAAATTAATAATTCGATTAGTATAGTTCTTATCTAATTGTTGGAAGTATTAGACCTCACCTAACTTACTTACAATCAAATCTACATTCCCGAAATCT